TTCAGACAAAAATTTCGGTTGCGCAGCAATAAAAAATAAATCAAAATGTGGGGAAATTGTGATATGGCGGGAAAATGGTAAGGCTACGCAGCAGCAGAAATTTTGTCAAATACAAAAAGCGGCCTGACCGATGTGGAAAGATGTCACCTACCCGAAAAACAACAATTAAGCTCAAGATTTACCCGAAAACCGAAGTTCGGTACTTAGTTTTTCAAAAGAACGAAGTGACTCAAAATGCTTGAAAATTGTTAACAAGTAAATTTACGATGCTACAATGTAGAAGGTTACAAAGTCAACGAATTCTAGTCAGACAACTTATAAACTAACAAGGGACACTCACGACCTGTCGTTTGAGTCCAGGGTACCCACTATGTTTTTTAGAATCTACTAGGACCCCAGATGAAGGATTCATTCATATTTCCGTGTAAAACTCATATTTGGCGCCATGGCGTGGCGCCAAATTCGCCAAATTTGATGGTTTTTCATTTTAAAACTGCCATAACTTTTGAAATCCTGGACGGATTTTCAAAATTGTTTGCAAAAATCATGACAAGGAGTTCAACTTTCGTATTCTATGAAATTTTTTTCAAAATTATCGTTTTTAACTTTTCGCAAAATTTCGAAATTTCGGGTTCGTCGAAAAAATGCTAAAAATATCTCAAAAATTAAAACTTTTTGGTTTTTATTTTTTTCTCTAAAATTTCGACTTTTCTGATCATTTTAAGCATAAAATTTTAAAAATCCGACATAAACTGCAAAAGTTATGGGGGTTTGAAATTGGTCGAAAATGCAAATTTTTAAGTTTAGCGCCACGCCATGGCGCCAAATATGAGTTTTACACGGAAATTTGAATGAATCCTTCATCTGGGGTCCTAGTAGATTCTAAAAAACATAGTGGGTACCCTGGACTCAAACGACAGGTCGTGAGTGTCCCTTGTAAGCCGGAAAACATTACTATCTCCATAGAACATTAATTAAAGTCTTAAATTTGGAGGAATACTTAAAAAAAGTGGCGATTTGGGTGAAAAAATACAAGGTCAAGAACCATTGCGTCATTTCCTCTGGACTATTGAATCCCGAAGTAAGTTGTATGTCAAATTCAACCTACAAAATATAAGATACAAAACCGCAAAAAAATCGGACGTACCACCCATACGTGTGTTACAATTGGTATCGAAAGTTATGGTTGCGGGTGTTTTTTTGCGCGTGGCGTAAAAACCTTTCATATTATACAAGTATGGCACTTTTTAATGTAAAGAATTTTATAGCGAAAATGCAACCTAAACACTTTGATAGCATGGGAAACAAGGAATTTTTTCCAAATGTTAGTCAGTACTTTTCCTCTAGGATAGTGCTGCAAGTCACGCTTCAAAAACCACCATGGCGCTAAATGAAGGGCAGGGTAAAACGGTTTGGGGCAAGGGGGTGTGGTCTACTAAAAATCCGGATGTGGGTGTTTTGGATAACCAATGGGTAATACTTAAGTGAGAGATGTACATGGATCCAGAACCATGCTCGACAGCAGCGATAACGACGAAAGTTCAAGAAAAGTGAAATTTCATGCCAAAAATGACTTTGGAAAGATCATCATAGAGTTTCAACAAAAGCGATGAGGACATTGTTAGGGTGAATTGTTGAAAGACCAAATACTAAGGTATGTGCGGAAATAAACTTGGGCTCACCAAGTTACATGGTTTTGAAAAATAGGGTCTTATTCTTTTGCAAGAAAAAGTCGGGAGATACATTTGGGCCACCCTTTAGATTGACGAATTGATTGACGCTTTGTGTCCTATAGGGTCAGTCATTAAGTATGGGTTATTCGAAAACAAGAATTCTAACAAACGCTTTAGACTCATAAAGTATGAGTCAAAATGGATTAGACCACTCTTACACGTACTACTAGAATGTCGGCGATGTGAATTACTTATTTGTATTAAAGTAACCTTACATGATTTCGGAGTTTTAGTCATGAGATTTGTTTCCTGATATTTTTTAGAAACATGAACATCCACACACATCATAAAAAATCAAATTATGTATACATTTTTTTAAATATCTGTATCCACAATAATTGTTCAAGTGTCCTATTTAGCATGCCTAGCCTTTCTACATAATCTTTTTGTGAATTAATAAAATTATACCTGGTTGGAAATAATACTGCCCAATATTTTGGTATATGTAAAGCATTTTCAGGTAGTATTATTGACATTTATTTTTGTCATTTACACTTAACTGTCATACAGAAAAACATATGCATACGTGTGCATATGTACAGTCAATGGAAAAAGTATTGGCAACCCCCACACCAGCTAAATAAAATTGGCTGTAACCTTGGAATGCATTATACAATTGGCATGAAAATGTGTTCGCATTTGGCAAATATAATGTAGTTTTCGATTATAATCATGACTTATTAATTAAAATTAGATAAACAGAGTTTTTAAATAAGTTATTGGAAAATTTACAAAATTAATCCGCAAAAAGTATTGGCAACATATGGCCAAATTAATTACGCGAAACAACTTTCTTAATGACCTTTCACATATCATTACGGTAAGTTAATTAGGTGACAAAATATGACGATAGCTACATTTTAAGTCAGCAGTTGTGTTGTCTGGAACCAAAATGGCGACACCTAACGAGCTGTATTTGGTGCGGTGAGAAATATTCATGTCTTTTCGCAAAAAAAAGTTGGATATCGAAAAATCAATGGAAAACATACTTTTTCATATTTACAATTGGAAATGTAGCCAACAAATATAAAATGACAATTTTAGTTTTTGCTTTTCCATGATGCGGAAGAAAAAAAGTTACCTACGCCCAAACGCAAATGATGAATCAAGCAACAAATTACTTGAAATCGGAAGATTTCAACACCCAAAACCGCTTAGAATTTGAGAACCAACTGTGGAGTCAATATTTCCTACAACATGGTGATAAATCAAAAATCATGCCATGGGGTTTCAGGGTACAGTAGCCCCATAAAAGAGAAGGCTCCCGAAACCAACCAACTCAAGGTATTTAAATCAGCTAAATACCGCCCTAAATAGACTTCCAATTGATGAAGAAGGGTCTAGTGGTCTCACATAAGTAAATTTAACTTTATCGGTGCGGGTTGGATGGCTAGAGTTTGGAGGATACAAAATGAGGCTCTCAAAAATGAATGCTGCCGTCTGGGAGTCAAGCTCGGCGGAGGATCGATTTGGTTTGGGGTTGAATGACTAGGTCGTTGCGTAGTTAGCTGGTCACTATCGATGAAGTGATGACCAATGAGGTCTAATTAATCATTCGAAACGATAATTTGAAAACATTTGACAAAAACCTGACCAAGGAAGTAATTTCATATTCCAAAAATGTAGTGGCCCCAAAACATGCATCCACATTAACGATGCACATTTTTGGAGACCGAAAAGGTTAAGCTTCTTTCGTTAGCTGCACAGTCTCCCGATGTGATTCTGATTGTCCGAGACGAGAAAAGAGGGACTGGTGGGAAATCACTCAACAAAAAACGAGCTTGTCATAAGTTCGAAAGAAGATTGGGAAGCCATATCCAAAAGCGTTATAAAGAAATTTGTCCAGTCAATTCCAAGGCGTATTTCTGCTCTCATTGCATCGAGGCGAGGTGCTACGCGGTACAGGAAGCAGTTTATCGAAACAAAATTGCCGTATCTTTGATAATGACTTTTAAAGTTAAGAGTTGCCAATACTTTTTGCGGGTTAATTTTGCAAATTTTCCAACAAATTATTTAAAAACTGTATTTATCTAATTTTAATCATTAAAACATGATTATAATCGAAAACTACATTATATTTTCTAAATGCGTACAAATTTTCATGCCAATTGTATAATGTATTCCAAGGTTATAGCTAATTTTATTTAGCTAGCGTGGGGGTTGCCAATACTTTTTCCATTGACTGTATGGAACTCGTTGTATTGCGGAATGACGCATATGCACGGTCAAAGATGCTTCTCCTCCATTTGCGTCAATATGAACGTGCAATAAATCCAAGTAATTAAGCGTCGGATAAATTCAGCTATCAGAAACGAAATTTGTCATTTCATCATCATTTAAGCATTGTGTTCACGTCTGCCCCAGCCGCTGAATAAGTGCTAATCTTATTCGTACCAATATTCATTGAAGAACGGGCGTATATGAATGTTTGACCTTTAGCTTTTACATAAATGTGAAGCAACTGGTACTTAAATAAATACATAAAGTCACAATTGATTACTTGCGTTGAATTGTTAGATAAGAAACTATGTTCTGTTTCCAATTATTGTAATAAGTCCTGCCTGAAAACGTTGCTAACCTTCATCTCAATCGTCTATCGTAAATCAAGGAAGTTAATCATGACCAGACAAACGCTAGCGGTAGGATTAAGATAAAGTTAATTATTTTTTGTCTGGTGGAGTCAAATCTGGTGAAGTTGACTGACAGAAATTTTCTGAGGTTGTACGTAACCCGCAAAATATGTCACTCTGATCGATAAAACATTAAAATGGAATTGTGCAAGGTTTACTTATTGCTACAAATTTTCGTTCGTGCCCTACTTGTTAACGGGATTCAAATCGGTAAGAATTTAAAATGTGATGGGATTGCATAAAAGAACTTAAACACAGGTTACAGATGAAATCTAGCAGGATTTGCATAAATTAACATAAGATCAAATTTTAAGCTTTCTCTTTAACTTCCGTTGTAACGGATGGTTACAACATGATGTTAAGTTAAAATTTCAACTTTAAGAATTTTAACTCTAAAACATGTGCCCTTATTGTAAATGCACCCAGATTTACACTCCAACCAAATAAATTTGTGGGACATCTGGGGTGTATATTTTTAAAAATCGGAAACGCTCTGCTCAACAATCTAGTCGCTCTTAATTTTAAAATAAATTCCCCGAGCTGAGAGACGATTTAAAATTTCTGATTTGGGGAATGATTTAACGAACAGTGTTTAGTATGAAATTGTAACATATTCTATTTATCAATGTTACACAGGTGCAAACTATCAATCTACGGGTGGAACTGATATTATTGTCTACACGATTAGCGAAACCAGAGTAAAATCTTTTTAAATTAAGGCTGATTAAATACATATTTATGTGGTTAATGATATGAATTAACCTATTTTCTATATGTTTAGACCAGTTGGCAGAATGCGTTAATTAGTTGCACAGATAAAGGCGGTTTCTTGGCGAGTCCATCAACTCCGGAGTTGGATGAAAGTTTAAGGACTTACTTGGCCAGTCAAAATTTTGCAGGTCCATATTAGCTGCATAAACGATAAGAAAAGCAATACAATTAATTACAATGCACTGGTCAGACATGTTTCTTACGGATCTTATTAAAACGGGAACTAAAAAATCCAGTAACCAAACACAGAAAAGTGGCAATTAAAAAGTTCTGCAGAGTCTACGATGCTACGAAGGTTTTAAAAATTGACAAAAACGCTGATTTTCACCTTCGGAAAACAGATAGGAAAGTTTTGGTTGATGAAAATTCATGTTTTTGCCAGCTTATATAAAACCAAAAGGTTCGTAGCGAGGTAAATTCAGCAAAAGTGCTAAAATGTATCTATTGTCTATTGTATTTAGTTAATTGATTTTTTAGCAGTGGAGGCTTTCCACAAATCCATGAGAAACATGTCTGACATGTGCATTGTGAGATGCATAATCCACTGTAATTTCCAGTTAACGATAAAATCTGGCTGGGCGGACGTGTCATATTTTTCGAGGGTGGGGTGAACTGGCAATGGGTCCCACGAAGACCGGTGATCCCGTACATGAATTTCCTGGGAGATCTGTGCCAGAATCCGATCCCCGGTTCTGGGCTCTACTGGACAACGACAGAGAGTGGGGCCTGGGGCTGGTGCACCATTTCAGAAACCGAGCAGCTAAAGTACGTCTGCGAGTTTGATAACACATTAACTTCAACGACTCCTCGGATAACCACACCCACGGGTCCAATTCCAACTGGGGAGATAACATCAGGTCCTGCGACATCTACGGAAAGCACGACACCTTCAAATGCGGGAAATCTATTGAACAGGATTTACTTTAAAATGATAATCTTATCTCCTATACTTCTTACTATATTTTTTGAATGAGGTTATAATTTGTTACATCAGATAATGGCATGTAAAATCTACATACGTCATTAACTGTATGACCCTTGATGGTAGGAATGTATTTAATTTAAATAAAATGTAGTAGCAACTAAAGGATGTAGATTTAATTCTTCCAGACGGTTTTTGTGGAACGCGACAAAATTTAACGAACATGGCATAAAGTCAAACGAAAAGAGTTAATGGCATGATTATGGGGTGGCTAAGAAGTATCAGGAATTTTTAAATTCGCGCATATATAATAAAGCTGTCCGTTCGTCCCCGAAGTGACGAGTAGGATGCCCAGTACGGCTCGAATGAATGCCTGCATCGTAAGAGACAAATTGTAGAAGAGAAAAATATTTTCGAATGTGCGTGGTTTTTATTATATAACAAGTCTCCAGTGTACTGAGGTTAAATGGGGAATGGTGCGAGTGAGGTATTAGAGGAGCAAGAAATGGTGAACGCGATTAACCTTTCCCATGACGGGGCTATTTTTAAGACACCTTTTTAAGCTAGGGGTCAAGAATGCATATTCTCAACGAGCTGTTAAATAAATACATATGCTACGATAGAATGTTTTAGCACAAGAAGCCTATAGGATATATATGTAATGTAAGCTTTGCATGTATATATGTAAGTAATGATCTCCAAATTTCAATAATCCTTAGTAAATTAGTAAACTTGAAATGCATATCGTGTAACAAATTCATATGGAAAAACAGAATTCCCTAGAGCTTAAAGAAGTCCCAAGTAGTCCCAACTTAAAGTGAAGTAGCAATTATTTATTTGGTAAAACTATAATTTGATGTAACTAAAATGTTAAAGTTTATCATAATATCACGATCCAATCTCTGTTTTTCTAATTCAGTTAGCACAGATGCAATATCCTTGAAGGCATTTTGCGTTCGGTGGTTTCCCGTGGAGGCCGCATGTTTCCACAAGATTTGAACATTCAGCATCCGTGGAACACTGCAATGAAAAATAACATTGTAAATCACCGTTATCAGAGGAGAGGAAAATACTATTTGAAATACAAAATACAAATACTATTTAATATTTTAAAATAGTATTTTCCCCACCTCTGTTAACCAGGGATGATTCAAATCTGGATTGAAGTCCGAACTTTGGTCGTGACAAAAACGGATAATTCGTAATAAAAAGTAGGCCTTGATTCCTTACCCTTGTCGAATAGCAACCGCACGTGCTGCTTGCGGGATCGAAACTTGGATAAGCTCTCTGCTGGCGAGTTAAACGGTCGCAGGTGTATTCGAGCGCGGAACAGTCAGCGGTTGAGGTACACTACAAGCAACCAGTATTATATTTAGTCTGCAAATTTTTGAGGTTCCCGGGGCACCGCATTTTTCAAAGCTTGCTACAACCAGTGAATTTGCAAAATTTAGTACACGAGGGTGAAATGTTATATCATACGCTTAATGTTATATCATACGTTTGGTTAGTTTCCGCTAAGGTGGTCACAAAAACAAGATCAATTATTTCACTTTACAGGTAAGGCTTAATTAATCGTGAATTTTACGTCACACCATAGCTCACCGAGGTCACTCACTTGTCAACCATTATCCCTCTAAGGGATAATGGTTGACAAGTAATCGAGAATTTTAGTCTCTTCTATTAATGACCACACCATAGTGGCTTTAGCATAAATACATATATTGCCAGACCAAGGCATTATAATAGGTTAATGCCCTAATTTTATAATGCCCTAATGTATTAGGGAGACCAATATCTATGTACCTTATCCCAGCATTCGCAGAAATGCCGGTCCCCCAAAGCGGGAAGGGAATGCCCCACACACACGCCAACTTTACCCCGTAACCGACAAGCAAAATCCAAGACTAGGCCACAATCCCAGTCATACCCTGCGACCGGAAGACACTGTAATGAAGAAATTTTGGGTTTCCAACACTTGTTTTTAAATAATTTATAGATTAAGCATTTGCAAAATTACCCCGCCCACGAATCCTCCGATGATAATGATTTGTCCATTCGTCCCAGATGTAAAAAGTATCATGCTGGATAGGACAAGGATAATTTCCTGTATCATCATGATGATTAATAGGCAAGCTTGCGGAAATCGTGGGCTTGCTGACAAAAAATATATGAAAATGTTTTAAATGTGTTTTTTTCAGTATTCACAAAGTGTGCAGAGTGCTGAGGTTCAATTGGAAATAATACCAGGCTTCAATGAACTTAGCCCTTAACAAAGTTATTTTAAAGACACCTTTTTCTGCCTCATGTATTTCAGCTACCTTTATTACCTTGGGACTAAATACAGCTCGTACTTAGGTTTCAGGTTTACTGGGTAAAATCTGTTGCATTCTCGTAAATATGTATTACATTCATATGTGGACCAATAAAAATTTAGAGTATGGTTGGTATTTTTGTAATTAGACTCTTTCTGTATATCGTCGTACTAATTCATAAAAGACGTAAGTGCAGTCGATGCTTTATTCAGAAAAGACTTAAGTGCACAGAAAAAAAGTAAAAAAGACCTATGTGCAAGTATGTATTTACTTATGGCTAAATCGATATATATGAAATATAGATCGGATATATATGAAAAATCGTTTTGGCAAGATTTAGCCATAAGTAAATACATACTTGCACATATGTCTTTTTTTACTTTTTTCTGTGCACTTAGGTCTTTTCTGAATAAAGCATTGACTGCACTTAGGTCTTTTACGAATTAGTAAACGATATGTAAGAAAACAGAGGTCAACGGTGACGGTTGAAGCGGCGGGGGCGGCCTGAAAATGTATATTGCTTGGCGGCAAAATAATAATGCTGCCATCATTAAAAGTATAAGTGACGTTTTTGCAGAATTTTGACATGCTTTTTGGATGCCACCAATCCCGTCATGGGTGGGGGTGTGGGAATGAAGAGTGAAGTGGGGATTTTGCGACTATGTACGTTCAGTTGGTCTGACTTTTATGTGAATCAAATTGGGACTTCAGTCGCTCCGGTCGTCACTAACTACTCGTACTTTAGGTCATTCGTTGTTCGGTCATTAGTCTATAGTAGGATTGAAGCATTCGTTACGTAAACCGGGCTTAAAGTTAATCCGAGATCCTATATCTACTGAATAATTGTAGAGATTTACTCCCAAATTAGTCTTAATCCCAGTGTAATTTAATTCCCAATCTCACTCCAGAATCCTGAAATTCCTTAAATCAATCCCTAATCATAATCGTTAATCATACTTTCATTAATCTCATGGCTGTAATATTGAGTGGTATTTGTTAGCCGAACTAAGCATGGTTTACAGTGTAAAATTTGCTGATTGGTTTGTTTTCCAAAATAATAATACATAATAAATACATACTTTTTGTATATTTAAAACGAACATTCCCAACAGATTGGATTATTTATGGAGCTGATAGTTTAATGCAATTATGCTTTTAAAAAGTCATGTATTATGCAAGACATCATATTTTTGCGATTTTCCTATTCCTTAAAATTAAGAAAAAAAGCAAACCATCATTACATAGATACATACATAAATGCTTAATAAACTGCGGAAAACACATATGTCAAAGTAGCTTTAGTCTCACTTCACCCCAATCACTATGGGAACATATAACTTCCTTGTATTTCATGTATGGGTTCAGCTACTGTAAACATCAAATTTTGCCCCTGACCACATCCGTTGAGTGAGGTCCGATAGACCCCGGAAAATTGATAGGATCCTCCCCTTAGGGCCATTAGTGCATATGAAGCCGTAAACCCGTATCTCGATTATTAACTCATAATCGAGATCCTTCATATCTAGATCCGTTCTCTCATTATCCTGCCAACGGACAGACAGACTCACGTCAAGGACGGAATAATACATAGATGGACGGACCAAGCTTTGGCATAAAGTAGATGGAGTGAGTGACTTGCTTAAGACGCTCATAATTAAGAATAGCCTAGAATACCGAACTTAATTATTAAAGAATTGAGTATTTATCAAAATTATCCGGTATATACACTAGTTAAAAAAATATCGAGCAACAACAGTTCTTTAAGTAAGCTAACGTATAAATATTGTTAGTAAATATTTATGTCAGCTACTTACCTACATATCAAAGAAACTCAAACTTAAAGATAATTTATAGCATCAGCGAATTAGATATTTTAATTTAGAAATCAAATACGTAAATCCCGAATAATGCCAAAAATTGTTACCCAGCCGGGAATCGAACCACGGCTCCCTTGAATTCATGTCAAGTGCTCTGACCTCTGAGCTACTAGGGCAATTAGTAACATTATAGGGACTTTTACTGATATTTGTCTGTGGCCTTTTTCTGTGAATTTCTACTTTCTTTTACGGTGGTAACGAACTGTTGCCTACCAAAGAACCTAGATATTTTAAATTACATTATATTAATCTAACAATGTTCATAATTATAAGACAAAGTTACGACGAAATGTACTCCCAAAATTGTCGTTCGTATTGCTCCTTCCATCCACCATTGGACCAGCTTGAAAATGCCAACCCCACTAATTTTCTACTCGATAAGGCAAAGTTTCTGGTGTAACAGCTTCCTCTGGAAGACACCGATTGGCTGGGATGCCAAAACGAATAGGATGACGTATGATGTGTCGTCCCATGTAAAATATCTTCCATGGTATTTCATCGTGTTCTTGATTTTCTTCGGAGTCACGAGCGCATGCTCAGCGTACGTGGTGTACTGGCAGTACTACGCGCCCCGCGAGGAGCTCAGCATCGCCCACAGTGTACAATATGCTCTATTAATTCCAGGGTGCTCAATAGGCCCAGGGACTGCTCTGGCTGTGATGCGATATGGACAACACGCATCCCAATTGGTGAATGGGATACTTGACTTCCACGAAGTGATGGAGATCTATAGAATAACAGGTTAGCATCCATACCCGGCTTAAAATCTCGCCTCAAGTATGTAATTGACCAGATCCCGGCCAAATTCTTACCCTCCAAGCTCCAAATATCCATGATATCCGCCGAGCTTTGATCCAAATCCGGATTCATGCGAAAATCTCGTCCTCTTACCTAAAATGTTGAATATACGTGATCTCCGCCGAGTTCAATTGGCAACCAAGGTTCCTTATTTCATGAAAATGAACTATTTATGTTTAACATAGGACAGAAGCATGATACGGGAAAGAAGAACACATTTGCAAAATGCTTGAACTTTCTGGACCGAGCTTTCAAAAAAGCTAAAATTCCAAGTATCTACTTATCCAACGGTAGTCTGGACATAGGAGGTAAGATTTGGCTAATTCAAGTTGTTATGCTTATCAACAATTTTGTAGCTGCACGGGGATGGGATATGGTTGGTATATAGAGCTATATGCGCGATATAGCTTCCTGCATATCAATGACGATGTTCAAATTATTTTATAAGCCAGTTATGATCACATTGGAGAGGGAGGCAGGGTACCAGAGGGATATTACATATATTGCCCCTATCATCTGCCATGCTATGTATGTAACCCCATCCTACCAATATCCTGCAATGTTAATGTTCATAGAAGGACCCAATGGTTCTGTTGCTAATAGCAGACAATAGTTTTTGAGATCTCGTAGGTTTGATTAAATCTAATCATTTGCTTAATTCTAGGACTCGGCTATTGGGTGGCACTGACTGGGGCGCCAATCATGTCACTGCTTGTCATCCCATTGACCGTGTTTCTATTTAAAAGTGATGTATTCCGATTCGTGCTTGAGGATTTGTGGCTGTACTTTGGAGTTCAGTATGCTTCCAATCCAATTCTCGTATTGTTCAACACCTCGCTGAGAATTGGCTTGATGTTCGCCTTCTTCATGGAGGCTCAAAGGATCTTTCCTTTTCTTTTGTATTTCTATGGATTGACTGGCCAACTGGTGCATGAAAATGTTCAGACAGTCCTAGAACATGCAAAGAAGATCAGGTTTGTACAAATAAAATTTATATTTAAGACCGAGGGCTGCCGTGAATTCCTGCCTATATGGTCACTTGAATAACTACTGATAATAATTTGAAAAAAATGGCCCAATTTTTTAACCCATTCTACTTCCTGATCTACCCGTTCATACGTACATACGTTCATACTGTACTCCGCCAGTAGACACCGATAATGAATTAACTGATGATACAATTCTTTTTTTGAGGGAGAGTAACGGAACGGTAAATCATCAATGGATAAAAGTCTACATCCATCTGGCAATGTTATCGGCTCAACCAGAAAAACAATTGGCGACGCAAGTCTTCTTCCTCATGTCGAGCGGACTGTTTCTCTGCGCAGGTTGTAATTTCGCAACAATTCGGTTTCTCGACTTTGGGATGCCTATACTGTATTACACAATATTCCCCATCTTCGCGGCATTGGTGCTCGGCACCATAATTTCTCTGCTGCCCTTAGCCATTGAGTTTCACCAAAACTCGGAAACTATTCTGGATATCTGGACCTGCTCCATTCCAGGTGGGCGTAAGGATAATTCATGACTGAGGAAGAAACTAAAGTCGATAAGGTCCCTTCGAGTGTACGCAGGAGTGATTGGATTCTACTTCTACAAACTGGACGAGTCCGTGCTTACAACATACTTTGTTGCAATTCTTGATTGGACGATTAATCTGCTGATGACATTTCATCCTAGGGCTGAAGATGCAAACGCTTTTGTGACAAATTTGCAGTAGATACCATGCCGATAAATTATTACGCATTGATCATGTTAATGACACATATAAATTACATTGTCAAAATCATAACGCAAATTTGCGAATATAAATATGTACTCGATTTTAATGGAACAGTTAGACCATTAGACCCTAAGTGATAATTCGGGGGGAAATCGACTGGGCTTAGGAAATTTAAATCTATGCTTATTGTTGTTCGGAAGTACATAGTAGGCACATTCATGTATTACAATTGCAAAGAATTGTAAGTAAATAGTTATCACGCATGACTACATAATTATTTCATCCTTGCAGTTTTGCAACATTTCGCCAGTAAAATCTAAAATGTTATACCGTAACAAAAAATCAGATAAATGCTACGACATTTTCCAGGTTCTAGCACAAGATAAATATTCCACGAGAAAACGTTTGCGCCATCTTGCCGTGCCATTGCTTGCTTGATGAAATGAATGCCGCACCAAACGTAGCTTGCACACGGTTGGTGGTTCAAGCGATGGTGGTCAAAAAATAATCTGGACTGAACATCGTG